GGGCGGGGTGAGGGAGAGCGAGAGCGAGGGAGGGAGAAGGAAAGGGATAGCGAGAGGGAGAGGGAGAGCGGGAGAGGGAGAGGGAGAGGGAGAGGGAGACAGAGAGTGAGAGAGAGAGAGAGAGAGTACATGACGACGACAACAAAGGAGCAAAAAAATGTAAAGCACAGCTCATTATGAAAATACATGGTAACTGCTTTCAACAAAAGTACCAACAAAATATACACCTCTAAATTACAAAACTAGATAACTGACACATGAAAGAACAACGCGTAAACTAAGCAAAAATGCATTACTTAAAAATACTATAGAACAAATCAATACATACAGATTAATATAAATTACAGTAGGTCCAGATTAAGCAAATGAAATACATATTAGAACACCAAAACAGTAATATTACTTGAACAAAACTAGCACAAACAAATTAATACGTACATTTAAAGCATAAAAGCAAAAATCTAATCACAATGGCTTCAAATAAAGCTTTCTAGGCGGCATTTCCATCAATACGCACAAAATGTTTTCTTTTCTTTCTTTTTTCCTTTTTTTTTTGGGGGCACAAAATGGGTACAAATTGCACATTACTCCAAAGGAAAAAAGAATTGGCACATAAACCCCCCTAAACCCTAAATAATAAGATACTAGGACCCTCATTCTTTTCGCAGGTTTAAGTGGAAAACTTGAACTGAAATTCAAATTTTTTGAGAAAACACTGTAGCAACAACAACAACAAACAAGCCTTAATCCCAACACCGTAGCAAAAAAGTTAAATTTTGATTCAAACAGAACAGGGCCTAGAAAAACCCATTTGAAACTTTTCATGAAAACAGCAAAAGGAAACACAAACAAAGGCATACATAGTAGAATGGGTACCATTAGAAAATGAAGAAAAAATAAATAAAAAGCCCTCAGATCTCATAGTTTTAGAAGACTCATCGACGGCTTAAAATAGCAAAATGGGAGTTCTTCAAAAATTGAAAAACCCCAGACACAACGACCGCCGTACCACCTCAATAGATATGTAACCATTAAGACCACACCCATATATATACATATATGCATATATGTGTGTATAACCAAAAAAAAAAAAAAGAAAAAGAAGAAAAAGAGATGGTGGCAGTAGAGTGTAAAAGGGTTTGTGAACAAGAACCACTTCGCTAAAACCACTCGCTTTGATTTGGCTTTTTTTCATCACAGGGCAACAACATATTATACCACAAACAACAAAGAAAAACATGTAAAGAAAATGTTCGTAAAAAACACAAAAGAACAATAAATAAATACTCCCATAGAGATAAAATAATAACAAAAATTGCGTTCTCTTGAGCTTCAACAAAACTATTCGACAAAAGAGTGAGTGCAAACCAACAATCATCAACTATCAGAAAATAAAAAGTTATAACATTATATTTAACATTCGAATGTCATTTGGAAAGCCCTCAGATCTCATAGCTATATACGGTCACCAGCAGTACAACCACAGAATTTTCATTATGAGCCTCTTTACATCTTCTACCACCTAGATATGTATACACACACACACAGATATATATATATATATATATATATATATATAGAGAGAGAGAGAGAGAGACAGAGAGAGACACAGACAGAGAGAGACAGAGAGTGAGTGCATGGTGAAGATGACGATGATGATGATGAGAAGGAGCAAAAAATGTAAAGCACGGCTCATGATGAAAATCCATGGTAATTGCTTCCAACAAAAGTATATTTTTTTCCATACAGGGCACAACCTACAAAATATACGTCTCTAAATTGCAAAACTAGAAGAAGTGACTTGAAAGAACCACATGTTAAACTAACCAGAAATGCATACCAAAATATTACTAGAAAAATACTCCATAACAAATCAATACCCTACAAATTAGTATAATTGTATGTGGGTCCAAATTAATCAAATAAATAGATATAGGAACACCAAAACTGAAATATTACTTGAAAAAAAACTGACACAAACAAATAAATACTTACATTCAAGGAGAAAAGCAAAAATCTAATCATATTGAATTCAGATAAAGCTTTTTAGGCTGCATTTCCATTAATAAGCACAGCAACAAACTGATCAGAGCCCAGTTCATGTATCATCATCATAAATTACAGGCATAAAAACAGAACTGTTTATAATGTTCATACAGACAAGAAGATTACAAATGCCTCAGTAGTCAATGAGAGTCACTATACTAAAAAAGTGAAAAAAAAAAAAAAAAAAACCTAGATACAAACACATGGCCTACTTTTGAAATTCCCAATCACAAATTCAAAAAATACAAATACAAATACAAATAACCAAAGAATTATAGATATGTCATATAAAGATTAATCCGCATAGGATATTTTGAATCTGCTATGATATCCTAGTGTAGTTTTCAGAAGCAACAGGCTATTTGGAGAACAATATATAGATAATAAATAATAAATAAAAATCTAAGAATATAGGGAAAATGCCTGTTATTGGTACGCAACACCAAATTGGAAATGATATAAACATAAATATATACACACATATTATTTTGCGAGAAAGGAAGAGATGACTTGCGTATAGAAAGAAAATTTCTTGCCCTCAGATCATAAAGCCAATAAAAATGAAGAATTTCATGGAGATTGAAGCTTCATTGAAAGCCAATCACAGCCTAAAGGTCAACAAAGACCACCACTACCACTGATTTTCACCACCACCAACAACAAGCGCAGCAACAGCAGCAGCAGCAATAAATAAATAAATAAATAAACCATAATAATAATAATAATAAGAAGAAGAAGAAGAACAACAACAACAACAGCAAGAATGGCCCAGTTGAAGATGGTGATGGAGACAGTGGGAGTGGATGAAGAAATGGAGGCTTAAAAATGAAGCAACAAGCCCTGCTCAATTCTATGATTTC